ACCCGAGACCGCAGGAGCTTGTGTTGACATGTTGCTGACCCCATGAAAACTATAGGCATTGTCCGAGCAATGGGTTGGGATTGCGCAAACCCTGTAGACCTAAGCGCCTCAACGTAGTGTTCTGTAGTGAAGTCTCCTTGCATTGATAACTGGTTTTTCTGTTGGACAACTGATTCAAACCTTGCCTTAACATCCGTTTTAGGGGTTGGCGGTTGTTGTGAGATTAATACAGGGGTCAGAATAGTATCCATATCCCTTTGTAATCCCGGTGTCTACTGTAAAGTACGTATCCCCTACCCCATTCGAACAGTTGCTGTCTGTCATGTGCCGCTGCTTTCAACGATTCCACCACCCATAAGTTGAGCTTCCCGGGCATGGCAGGAAGGAGGATGTTGATGGTGTTCATGATGGTGATGACAATGACGACGTTGATCAAAGTGATCATAGTTTTGGTATGGTGATGATGATGGCGATGATGATGTTGTTGTTGATGATGATGATGATGATGATGCCGATGCCGATGCCGATTCGGATGCGGATGCGGATGCGGATGCGGATGCTGATGCTGCTGCTGATGATGTTGTTGATGATAATGCTGATGCTGACGATGTTGTTGATGACGATGATAATCATGATGGTGATGGTGGTGGTGATAATGATGTTGTTGCTGTTGCTGATTCTGATGCTGACGATGTTGTTGATGATAATGCTGATGATGATGACGACGGCGGTCCTGACGAGGATGGTAATGCATGAAACTTAGGCTGTTGAATCAGCACAGTAGTCCCTGAAGCTTCGAGAGATGCCCCAATCTCCATATCTTTGAAGACATGAACAGACCGTTGAGTCTTCACTTTGCCCTGCCCAAACTATATCCGATACCCCCGAGCCGCAGGCGGCTGGCCGTTGGGCCGTTGCCCGAAGGCCAAATGCTCACCGCTGCCAGAAGGAAGGGCACATGCACGGGGTGGTGGCAATTACAGGTTCGAAGATGTCATTTGGGGGAAGAATCGGTTCAGGATCTGCGCGGACTGTGCATGATAAGGTGAATGCAGGATGCCCGAAGTATCATGATTACCCGCTTGACGGGATCTCTCTTGTTGAAACCTCCAAGTGGCAGATGTTCGCATTTCCTTTCATTGGGCCCGAAGGGCTGCTTTCATGGGCCAGGAGAGCTTCATCGGATCTTAGATACAGGTCGATATTTTTCACCGAGCTCAAGCAGATGGAGTAGCTCATGACCTCCTCGCCCATGGAAATGCGTTTGGCTGATGTTTGCGTTTTCAGGCGACCAGCAGTGCGGCAAAGAAAAGATCGCTCCTTCGTGCCTGCTGCACGTTAAAGGGCAGGACTCTCACACAGGATCGCTCAGCAGCAGGACCCCCATACTATTTTGTTAAGTGCTGCCTCTCCGAAGAGTGGAGATGTGAGCGCCTCCCGTTGTAGAAGCATCAGGCCACGGCCCAACCAGCAAGTTATTCCGGTTCGCAGCGTGCTCCAAAGGTGTCAGCGATGAATATATTATATTGCATTGCTTCAACAGGTTGGTAAGCTTAAACAAGCGACCGGTTCAATGACCAAGAGTGTGGGCTGCCGCGCCCTGTCTCCGAGGCTTTGTCCTGGCCTGCATGCCATCAGTATGCAGCCCAGCAAGGCAACAGTGACAAGTTGAAGAGCTGCAGTTGCCTTGTGGGTCCTTGTTGCTGTAGACCTTTGGGCACGAGTTAGGCCTTCTGCCCGTGCAGATGACCCCAAGCCCTAAATCCCTAAACCCCTAAACCGCAAGCCCTGGAACCTCTAAATCTGCAAGCCGTCATCCCCTAACTCCCGAAGCCCTGAAGCTGAAACCCTAAACCCTAAAGACCAAATCCCCAAACCCTGGAGCCCTGAAGCTTACATCCTACGCCCCAAAAGGTCCTAAACCCTAAACCCGCCATACACCGAAGTCTGAGGCTCGCTGACGGCGCTTCCCTTGGAGCTGCCATCCGAGCTCTTCGCGGCTTTGGTCGAGCGCTCGCTGCAGGACCTGTCGCATCAATCTGAGCAACAGTTATAGTGTTTGAGGGTTTTAGGTTTTAGGGTTAAGGTCCAAAGGTTGGGGCATTACAGATCCCTTCAAGGAAGTTTCTAAAGAAACCCAATTCCTTATTTTTACGGCACCTATAGTATCACGGCGGTGTGGGCAGGTGCTCTTCATTGCGCTGCCTTCCGAAGAGATGGAACAGTGACGGCCAAAGAAACTACTACGGTTTAGGGTTTAGAGTCTAGGCTTTCAGGTGTTTCGTTGTTTCTTCGATGTCTGCTTGATTCTAGTCTCAGCTTCAGATTCTCTCCGTTTTCCGTCTATGCATGCTGAACAGCCGCCCCTGGTCCTTGCTTGCTCTAAATTCTACACCCTGCCTTTAGCAAGGCATCACCGTCGACAGGCTAGCTAGCTCTGATACCTACAACTCTTCGTCTCCTTCTTCTTCTTCTTACTACTACTACTACTCCTCCTCCTCCTCCTCCTGCTGCTGCTGCTGATGCTGCTGCTGCTGCTACTGCTACTCCTACTACTGCTGCTACTACTACTACTACTACTACTACTACCGTCACCACTACTACTACGACTACCACCANNCTGCTGCTACTGCTACTCCTACTACTGCTGCTACTACTACTACTACTACTACTACTACCGTCACCACTACTACTACGACTACCACCACTACTAGTACCACTTCTACTACTGCCACGCAATACCACCAATGCCACTACTGCTGCTGCTGCTGCTACTGCTACTACTCCCACCACCACGACTAGTGCTTCTTCGTGGCGCGAACGTCCGGAGGCGTCCCTGCGTCTGAGACAGCAATACCCTGCAGGTTGCGATATTCGCAAGATGACACTAGCATCTATAAAAGGCGTGCTGTACCCTCGTCTGGGCCGATAGCCCTATCAAGCAACGAGGAGTTCTGTGTGGAACAAATGTGGAACCTGAATGCGTGGTCTGTCCTTGCATTCATGATTCATGCTCGTGTGACAAGTCAATTGTACACTATTGCAAGTGCTACCCCAACTCACATCCGCTGAAAATAGCATCAGGTGAAAGATCACATCAGGCTCAGTTGTCGATGTACAGCCCGGCATACAGAGCTTTGTCAGAATGACTTTGGACATGAAGTCAGTACCGGACCGAGATGAAGTTTTCGGAACCTGTGTATCGGCAGCACATAGAGCACACAATTTCAAGCATCCGTAGCCGCATCTCTGCACTCATGTTGCCGGCATCCTGCAGATCCCCTTAGCAGAATTGAAGACGATGTTATTGTCTGCATAGCAGCCTCATGGCAGCTACTACTACGACGACGACGACGACGACGACCGCTTCTACTGCCCCTATGTTCGGAAATTGCAGCCTCAGGAGGAGGGACTGCACCCCAGACTGAGCCTTGAATCCCCGAAAGCCTAACTCCCGAAAATCCGAAGACTCTCGAGCCCGAGGTCGAGGACCGCGTCGACTCGATCTACCTCAGGCAGAGCTGCAACTTCTTCCTCCGCAACCCTATTTTGGTAGCGCTTCAAGAAGCCCATAGATTAACCCTGGAAGGCACCCCAATATAGGAACCCTTATAATAAAGCCGGAAGTCTTATAGGAACCCTGATAGTATAGCCATTTAGTGGTAGTCCTTAGAGTAAACCCCTTCAGGAGCCCTTAAAGCTTCCTTTGTCAACTTTGTTGAGCCTGCAAGTCTACGGCATCACGGTTTAGGCTTCAGGGGTTTGGGGTTTACGATTAGGGGTTGCGGGTTCAGGCGTGGTTCATAACATAATTTAGGATTCGACTTTGGGGCTTTCGAGTGTTCATTACATAATTCCTGCTATCGGTTTATTCCTGTTTCTGTGAGAAGTACGTTGACAAGGACGGTTACGAATGTTGGAGTTTAGGATTAAGGAGCCACAAAACAACAACCGCAACAGCAACTGCAACCACTACACCGCCAGCACCACCACCGTCGCCACCACCCATGATCACTGCCACCAGCGCAAGCACCAGCAGCATGCACAGCCCTTACGAAAGGCCAATCAGCCACACCCGCTACCACTGCTGCTTTTGCTGTAGCTGACGGTGGTGCCTCACTGCTGCGAGCACATTCCACTACTGCTACCGCCACAACGACGACGAGCATCGCCACTCCATATAGCCATTAGAGCTTCAAAAGTTGTTGTCTTCACAGAGTTCTGCTGCGTGCTGCTTGCTTTCACAGAGCAGCCGGGAGATGGCTCGCCAGTCGAGCTCAGCGCCCTTTTCCTATGTTGATGCACGGCGATCCTCATAAGGTCTCAGGTCAGTAGGTTACGTTGTACTTGTGAGCTTTGGAATGCCAGTTATACACCATCAGCGCCTGGTCTGCTGTGCCTGGTGACAGGTGACGGCAAGTTGGCGCTGCAGGCTTCCGATGCCTTCTTGCATGCCTAACCCCAACTCCCTACAACAAAACACTTGTTCAGCTTTTTTGACAGATGTCTCAAAGCGAGTTTGTCGCATACATAGTAAGAAGCGGTTCGGGATGCTCTCATGAGTGGGGCGTGAGTGGCAGTTGGCGTCTTCATAGCCATGTTACTAACCACACCCCAAGTTGCACACCGGCCCAGTTCCGCGTCGCGTGAGATTTTAAGCTTTGATTTGCGCTACTGCTCTCTGCCCCTGTCTTTTCTAAATCAGTTCCCTTATACCATACATCGCCCATGGCCTGCATCTTGGGCAGGGCTCAGACAGCAGCCGAAGTGAGGCCAAGAGGGATGCAGCTTTTTGCAACTGATTTTTTCTTTGGTCTCTGGTGTAGGGAAACATGTTGATGCTTAGCGCCTGCAACCTTTCAGTCGCTAGCGAGTTTGTGACGAAGAGCTTATAAGAGTTCTCCTATCCTCCGGAGCCCATCGGTGTCTTCTGGCTCGAACTGCAGGCGGGCTGGAGGGTAGTTCGGAGCTAGCGCTTCAGTTCTGCTTGGAAGGCCTCCATGCAGGTGGAGCTAGCACGCCGTGGAGAGGCTCTCTTGGGTGTAGCCAAGGACGTCCAGTGCCGACGGAGGATCTTCGGGGTTTGCCTACTTGGGGCAATCCTTTTGACCTTCGGCCTCCTCTTCTTCCCACAGATTCTTGGCGGCGGAGGCCCTGATTCCGCTAATTCCCTCCAGGGGCAAAGCACGCAGCTGCCGGGGCCCGGCGGACTCCCGGGCCATCTCAGCGGTGTGAATCTGGGTGGCTGGCTTTGCTTGGAGGATTGGTTCTACTCCGGGGATTCGGGTGTACATGTCTCCAGTGTGGATGAGGCCGGCCAGGGAGCATGCCTACCACCAGCGGTGAGCCAGTTGGACAAGCCTTGGCCTTCTGAAGGCCACTTGACCTACAGATTGAACCAAACGAAGGGGAGCAAGTTCGCAGTCAAGGCCTTGACAGCTCACCGTCATTCCTTCATTGGTGAAACAGATTTGACAGCCATCCGGGACCTGGGGCTCAGTGTCGTCAGGGTGCCCATTACTTGGGCTGCCTTTGCAGATGCGCTAGTGCCACTGGATCAGAAGATTTATGGATCTCACAACCCACAGAATGAAACAGTCATCGTCCCAGACCCCTTCTACAACGACCGGGCGGCCTTTGCAACGATTCCCCGCGACTGGCTGGCAGAATTGCTGCGGCGTTGCGCGGAACACGGCTTGAGGGCCCTCATTGACCTCCATGCCTTTCCAGGCGGGGCGGCCTTGGGTACCTACAATGGGGTTTGGCCGGACACTTAGCAGCAGAATTAAGACAGAATGAACTTCTTGGGGGCTAATCTTCCACCTACAAGAGTTAACTGAACAAAGTTAAAGCGTTTTGCTGCCTTTGAGCCACGAAAACTCTAAGGACAAGCCCGCCTTCTGGCGGAATCAGACCAAAGTGGGCAATGCGGCATTGACCCAAGTCGGCCTTTGGATCGTCGGCTCTGCTGTGACGTGGTTGGAAGGCCTTGATGCCGAGGCGCAAGCAGGACTCCTTGGCCTGACTGTGACTGGGCTCGTGCTATAAGCAGTCGAGTTTAAGTCACCAGAATAAGGAAGCCGTAGTATTTGCGACTGATCTCTGCTATGGCAACTGAAACTATAAGTTCCTTAACAAGAACCCAGGTGATGAACGAGCCCGCCCACCTGAATGCTGGAGCAAAGTTTGCAGAGGAGCAGGAGGTACTCAAGTGGTTGGCCAATGCCGCACAGATCTTTCGTGTTTCCAAGCTGCCCGGTCAGGGAGTCAAGCTCTACATGCAGATGATTGACACAGCCTTCCAAAATTTCACAGAGACTGTCGTGCCTTGGTTCTTTCAGACATTTACAGACACGGAGCGGCTGAGTTGGGTGGTCGCCGATCAGCACTGGTACACAGCTTGGGACGCGGGACACTGTGACATGCGCACGTCAGAGGATGGAGGCCTCACCTGCGACACGCCCGTGGAGGTCATAAGACGCAAGATGCGCTCTTGCGCTAAAGCCTTCTCCTCCAAGATCCTTGGTCGCATCTATAGAGTGAGTGTTTATGAGCCTTCAAGTAGGTGACAGAAAGTGGTACACCGGCGTCTCAGAATCGCTTCAGTCTTATCAAGCCAAGAGTCAACAGAGGGAAGCATACTCTCAACTGAGCCTCGACAGTCCCACAGTGCCCCCTGACCTCAAACCGACCTATGCCGCCATCACAGAGCCCTGCACCCCAAACCCTAGACGTGGAAACCCAAGCTGAGCATAGAAGCCCGAAGCGTTCACAACACGGTTCCTTAGAATCTTAGAGTTCCTTACGGCACTCCCCCCAGAACATTCTTCTAATCATCTAGCCCCCACATTCAGCCATGTGAGCCGCCGATAGAATCCGGTTAGACCCTACGAACCCACATGATTAGTGGTGCTATTGTTGTCACTGCTGTTATTGTTGTTGTTGTTGTTGCTGCTGTTGTCGCCGTTGTTGCTGTTGTTGCTGCTGCTGTTGTTGTGGTTGTTGTTGCTGGTCGGTCGGTCGGTTGGTTGGTTAGTTGGTTGGTCGGTTCGTTCGTTGTTGGTTCGATGTCGGTTCGTTGTTGTTCTTGCTGCTGCTGTTGTTGTTGTTGCTGCTGCTGCTGCCGCCGCGGCTGCTGCTGCTGCTGCTGCTGTTGTTGTTGGTGGTGGCGGTGGTGGTGGCGGTGGCGGCGGTGGCGGCGGTGG